TTCAGCTCCTCCATGGCCGTGGCCACCACGTCAGCCACGTCTGCCAGGTCCACGCCACGCAGCTCACACTTGGGAGCGCCGTCCACACAGGCGTACACCTGCTCCTCTGTGAAGTAGTCCCAGCGCAGCACCTCAAAGCGTGTCTTGGGCTGGAACGGCGGTGGGATGCCCACGGGCCACATGGCACTGTGGTCTCCGTCCGCGGACAGGCTGCTGGTGTTCTGGATCTCCAGCTGCCAGAGGAGAAAGGGCAGCGTCACAGCAGGGAGAGGCAGGACCCCGGAAACCTCCTCCCGTCCCCCTGGGACCTGCGCCCAACACATTGACCCCATGGTCAGGGGCAGATCGGGTGGTGGCGCAGTGCATTTGCACCCCCCTTCAATTCCTGCTCCATCCAGAGTTTGAACCCAATGGCCTGGCAGGGGCGGTGGCATTTCTAGTCAAGCATCAGCAAGAGCATATCTATTCGGGCAGCAGTCATCTGACTTCACGGCTCATTATAATCTACCTGATTCCTTCTAAACCTCTCATTGCACAAGTGTTAATGACCCTCTCTCCTTTTTAATGGTCCTGTTGTTCCACTAACCAAGCTAGCCTTCCTCCTGCAATTCTGCTGTCTGCTCCCGGTCACGCAGCTCCTGTGTCACAGCCTTGCCGACTGTTCTTAACGCTCGCTAAAAATATTGACTCCAGTGCGGACACGAACTCAGGTGAGCCTGAACTCAGGGGCGGAAGTAACATTCAGCCAAGCACTGGGTGCACCATCAAGATCCTCAAGGAAACTAGAATTTACTTCATGAATCTGAAAACAGAACATTTCAATCTAATGACTACAGGGCTAATGAAACAACATCCTTTGATTATGGTTCGCCTAGTTCTTTGTGGTTTTTTATAAATAAAATATGACTTAGCAAATTAATGCACATTCCAATAAAGAGGTGCTTGTTTGTGCTTTGATGTTAGAATCCCAGAAGATGAGTGCTGGAAGGGGCCTTGGGAGGACAGGTCTAGTCCAGCCCCCTGCTCCAAGCAGGACCGGCCCCAACTACATCATCCCAGCCAGGGTCAGGCTGGGTCTTAAACACCTCCAAGGATGGAGACTCCACCACCGCTCTGGGTAACCTGGTTTCAGTGCCTTACTACCCTCCTAGTGAGAGAGACAGTTCTTCCTAATATCCAACCTCAATTTCCCTTGCTGCAGCTTGAGCCCATTGCTCCTTGTCCTGTATCTGCCCCCAGTGAGACCAGTCCGGCTCCGTCCTCTTTGCAGCCCCCCTGCAGGGAGGTGAAGGCTGCTATTCGATCCCCCTCGGTCTTCTCCTCTCCAGACTAAATCAGCCCAGTTCCCTCAGCCTCCCCTCACCAGTCCTGTCCCCCAGCCCCCACCACCATTTTCACCGCCCTCCATTGGACTCTCTCTGACGTGTCCACATCCTTTCTGCAGGGGGGGCCCACAGCTGGACACGGGACTCCAGATGTGGCCTCCCCAGTGCTGAGTAGAGGAGAAGGGTCACTGCCCTCCATCTGCCAGCATCGCTCCTGCCAATGCAGCCCAGGATGCCGGTAGCCTTCTTGGCAACACGGGCACACTGCTGGCTCCTGTTCAGTTCATTGTCCCGTCACCCCCAGGTCCTTTTCTCAGACAGGGTAATAGAGCGCTGACCCTGGCGCCCTAGTAAAGCTGCTGGTTTCTTTTTAGCTGCAGGTTGCTCCAGGCAACGCTGCACCGACCACTTGCATCCCCCCTTTGCAAAGCCCCAGCCCTGCCCATGCCCAGGACACCAGAGCCAGCTCAGACACGCAGCGAGCTGCTCGCTAGGATGCCGGCACTGTTTGCCCACGAGGTGGCAGCACCGGCCCATGCCAGCACGAAGGAAACAGCCACACGCGTGACCCAGGGCCATGAGCATGCCTCCCGCTACCTCCACACGCCACACCTGGCCGGGTCCCTGCGCTGAAGCCAGGAGCAGCCCTGGGGCCCGACCCCAGCCCAGGCTCTAGGCACCACTACAATGCAACCGTTTACAAACAGCCAGGCTGAGCCCCGACCCTGCTCAAGCTCAACCCTGGCCCAATGCTGCTCTGGTGCCCAGCGCCGGCCCTGCCGATCACAGATTGGGCCACGTTTTTAGCCTGAGCTCATCTCACTCCTGCTCCCCTGCTCCAAGCTCTCCTCCCCGCCTGTGCTCGGGTGACACGGGCCAAGGTCTGTCCTCTGGGGTGCCTGAGCTGGGGGAGGCGCAGACCCTGGCACTGGGGGTGCTCAATGCAGGCTGGCCCCACGAGCCCCCCATGCAGTCAGGCTCATCACACCAGTGCAGCTGGCCACGAGGTACCACGATGCCTGGGCCTGGCTGGGGTCAGTGCTCGGTGCACCACACCGGGCACCTTTCCCAGATCACAGCTGCCACATCCTTTTGAGCCACTGGCTCATCTCCATCCCTGTGACCTCCCTGAGGCTCCAGATTCATCTGAACACCAAGCCTGTGCCCAGCCCACAGGGCCCGTGGGTAGAGAGGTCTGGCCTGGCCCCAAGGCCGTCGCAGAAAGCTTGTGCATCACAGAGACAGACCCCAGGCAGGACGCGATGTCTGGGACCCAGGTGTGGGCCAGTGCTGGCTGGTTCTGCGTGGGGGGAGATGGCTGAACCCCACAGGACAGCATGGGCCAGACAGGAGGGAGGAGGGTGCAGGCAGACAAGCCAGGCTCAAAGGTCAGGACAGGAAACCTCCCCACCTCCACCGAGCCTGATCCCCCGCAGAGCCACCGCTGCAGGGAGAGGCCCCCCACGCCTGCCCCCACGCCGCTGGGCTCACCTGCAGCTGCTGGATCTCCTGGTAGGTCCTCTCCAGCTCCACCTGGGCGAAGTGCTTGTGCAGCCGGTACATCTGGACAGGGTCCAGCACGGGGTGCACGGTGAAGGCGCCGTGGAAGCGAGGGTCGGTCTCCCGCTCTGGGTCCATATTCTTCCCCAGCTCAAAGTACTGGTAGCGCAGGCCCTGCCCGGGGAGATGGCGTCACTGCTGACCCCGTGGCGCTGGCTGCAGAACCGCGGCCACCCTCCATCCCCCAGGCCTCGTGCCAGGGAGGCAGGGTTACGGCTGACCCCGAATCAACCCCTCATCACGGCTTCACTCCAAAGCATGGCCCTCCCCCGCCCATGGCCGTTACATGGGAGACGCAGCACCGCCTCTTCTATCCCCGCCGGGACCCCAAAGAGGGGTTGAGTGACGTGCGGGAGAGGGGGGTTCTTTCCAGCAGCATGGAGAGCACGTAACGGGGGCCGCACTGGTCTCCCCACCCATGTCACGGGGAACATGGGCAGTCGCCAGACCCCACCCCCACTGCCACAGCCGGCTGCATCCCAGGCACCTCATCCCCCACGCGCCACTCCGGGGTGGGGAGCCGGCTCACCTCGTGCTCATCCACGCAGTTGATAGCGGTGTAGTCGATGATGCAGCGGGCCAGCCACTCATCGGGGGGGGGGCTG